GTGTGTGTGTGTGTGTGTGTGTGTGTGTGTGTGTATTAAGAGTTCCAATGCAAAAGCCTCTAAAAGCCATCTTGGTCAAAAATGAGATAACGATACTGAGTGAATGCTCTCCACACATAGTATGTTCATCAAGTAGGAAGTATCATCAAGTATCATTAGAATATATTCTGTAGCTATAAACAGTAATATTATGTGGATGTTCGCTGAACGAATGCTGTCTGTTGGTTAAAACATCAGCTAATGGATTTCGCATCACAGCTTCATCAAATCTGCTGTAAAATTGAATTTCACAAAAAAAGCAAACAAAGGCACACATAGCCTATTTATGATTATAAAACATGCCGTAAAAATAACATTAGCGTTGCCTTTGGTGAGATGCAGTCCTCAGAGACCCTAAAGCTGCTTTAATAATCCATTGCTGAAGATGCTGAGTTGATAAATAAGTAATTAAATAGATTTGTCTCGTCAATGGCTGCTTCTGCGACGCGCTGCATAACAGAGTGATGGTGTTACAGCGCCATCTTGTGGAAAAGATGAGCACTGTAATTCTGTTTACAATCATGATCATTGAATAAAATCAGCGAAATCCAGTGAAACACCATATCTAAAACCTAGAATGCATTAATGAGTTAAATGTATGATGTATTGCTTTATATTTGACATGAAATGGATTCAAGAATGTTTGCCTTGTGTGTTCATATGGACTCACGGGTTTAAATAAATAAATATAATGATTATGATAATAATAATAATAATAATAATGTGATGCATATTTGCATTCACACATTATATCTGTTCACAATTAAATGTATTCAGTCAAAAAGTATGAACATCTTTAACATATGGTAAGCTGTAAAACAAGCGATATTCAGTTACTTAATCCATGCATTTAAAACATATTAGATTTATATATGATAATAGGCTATATAAACCTGGTTATTGTAAATTTAAAACACATTCCCCTTATTGGTATTTTATAGAAATCTGTTGTATTTCTTACCTGTTTCATTTAATGGAAATATATACATCACATTATGTTCATAGTTTATGTAAAAACCAAATGACAATTTTATATGCAATTCTAATAGGCTATAGAAACCTTACATTTAGGCCTAAATATTTTTGAGTGTATAAACATTTTAATTAGAGACTCCCGCATTGACATATTTCTCTTAAACGTTTTTTTAAGGAAGCCAGTGTTTATAAAAATCATGATGTTTATTTTGTTTTGAAATTATTATTATTATTATTATTATTTTTTAATGCATTTCAAAACTGATGGTTTTTCAAGAGTGCAATTTTCAAAAGTGAATTTTTACAGTTACTCACTCGAGTAAATATGAATTGTTGAAAAGCATTTCCCAGCAAGTTAGCTGACATCTGAATATGTTAATCTCTCTGTTCATTATCCTGAAGCATTCCTGCACCTCACTGACCCTCTTCAAAATGCATATTTAATAGCCTAGAGCACAGTTGCGCTGACCTTTATGAAAGTCTTTTCAGTAAAATAGAATGTTGAAACTTTAGCTCCTCTCTCACACTCTACAAAATTTCTGCAAAGTCAGAAATTGTAAGGTAGTGACCATATTGTGTGATTTTGGCATGATGAGAGATTACTTTTTTCTGTAAAGTGTAAACTTCTGTTGTTCAAATATTATTTAATTACATTTAAAGCATTTATTGGCTCTCTGATGAGTTTATTAATTTCATACATTTTTTAGGACTTGTATGAAATCATTGGGTAAAATATATTGTGACATTCCTTGATATTTCTGCCATGGTATTTTTTATTTTTGTAGCCCTAATAGGCCTATATATAGACGGTTTCAACGGCAATAACAAACAAACGTTACTGCGCATGCGCGCTTTTGTGGCCCTAACTTAACTTCCGGTAGACTTCCAAATAGAATCAATAACAGCAGCTAAGTAGTCGCTTTAGAGTAGATTATTTTTGATAAGCAAAATATGTTTGCTGCATAAATCAGACGGACTTGCTGAAAATGCAAATTCATTCTCTGCCAGCAGGAGGTGCTTTAAAGCGGGAGAAACAGAGGTTTCCCCAGTAATGGCTGTACACAAAGCAGCGCTGAGCTCACAAATGCTGCTTTATCAGCCATATAACATGCAAGATGAAATGAAAATGACATCAAAAATTTTCTAAAGATAGTCTTCCTTCAGAAATACAGTGATATAAAAACACCCGCGCCTCATTTAGATTTTTAAATGTGCAGTAGGCCTACATGCTCATGTTTATTTAACGAAGCCTTTTGGAAAATCGTCAGTTCTGATATTGTGGCAAGCGCCACAAATAAATAAATGTATGGGAAACACATCCCACAGCACAACCACCTGAGCCCAACTTCAGTCTATAGTATACTCATCACCTTAACTTTAACTGCATTTGTAGCCGGCGCCATAGCCAGACTGATAAACAAACACAGACCAGTTGCATAAACTTAGTCACCATGTTAAGACTGCGTCTTAAGAACTAGTTTGACCAACTAGCAGTTGCCAAGGGCAAGTCAGTCTTACCTTTCCACTACAAATAAGACCAATCTACCCTTTCATAACTGAATTAAAAAAGTTATGACCAGTCTTAAAGAAAAAAAACTAGATGACTAACTTTTTAAGACTAGTCTAAACAGTTCATGCAACCGGCCCCCAGCAGAAGTTAACTTCGGGCCAGGCGCCCGATGAAACCGTATTTGTTGTTGTCCTTTACCTTCTGTACAAAAAAAGTCAAAACTCTTTTTATTTAGGGGAAAAAGCAGGTTAGTGGAAAAAATAAATGCATTTTAATGAATTTTATGTTTCCCACTTGAAGGAATTATGGTCTTCTTAACAAACAGGGACTTAAAATGGGACTTAATCGGTTATGAGCGGACTTATTGAACCAAGAACTCCCCAGAAGATCCTCAGTGTCTGTTTCATTGCTCATTCCATTTCATTTCAGTGCTCATTCGTTTTCATTAATTTACTCAGTGAACTGTTTTAGTGGAGTAATGTAGGAGTGTATATGATTTCGATTTCGGTGATTTCGGCTCACTGATTCATTGAACCGAGAAACGATTCTTAGGGACACATGTCCAGTTCGTACTGAGCCGAGAACCGATTTATTAATATTCAAAATGACTTTTTATGAACTGAATCCGCTGCAATTTCAAAACAAACTGTAGCTACCTAGACATAATAGACTCCGTGTAATTCAAATAAATTCTTCTTGGCTTGCCATGTTATATGAATTACATATTGCATTACAGAGTATGTCATATATGGATATTTGTTACTAAAGAACTGGGCTGAACCGATTCTTTGAAATGATTCATTGAAATGACTCGGACGCTTGATCAGTAATCTACTGCGCATGTCAAAGTTCAACCAATGGGACGCTACGTACATGTGACGTTTGTCGTGACGTTATTCGATTCAGGAAGCGCGTGGAGAGCAGCGTGAACGTCAAAACAGAGTCTTATGAGATGAACTAATCAAGCTGTTATAGAAGTGCATTTGTTTTATTATCATACTTTATCAAAAATTACATTTCATCCCAGTTACTGGACGTGAAAGGCACCGTCATTTAAAGCGGAAGACGCAGAGAAATGCAAGCTGGATCCAGATATAAGCCTCACATTCAGCTGACATGATGTCGTTCACATTACAGTGGAGTGCTGCTTTCCCCTCAGCATTGTTCTGTCGATGTAGTTCAAGATGTAGTTCAAAATCCTTTCAACGACACTGCAATCGCACATTGTCCGAGAAAGTGAGAGTATCTGATGCGCTCTCGAGCAAAGAGACTGGGTCAAACGTTAGAATACAGGTGAGAACATTGTCCGAGATTATTTTATATAGGGATGTAACGGTATGAAAATTTCTTATCACGATTATAGTGACCAAAATTATCACGGTTATCAGTATTATCACGGTTTTGTTAAAATGTGCTGGAGATGTTCAAAAAGTACCAACACATAAATCACTTCACCAAGTTTTATATTTAAAAATCAACAAACAACAAATAAAATGACTTTTTGTTTGCATAATCACTAAAACAGTAACATTACCAATGATGTTCGGATTTTAAATGACAACTTGACTGACAACAGTTTAATAGCATGTTGAAATATCTCATGTAAATGTTCAAATAAAGCTTTGAAAAAGTTTCATAAAAAGGTAAACCTCACATTTCAGCCTTTAAATAAAGAAAAGATCAAAGTCAAAATGATTATATGTATTTTATCTGCTCCATAAATAATTCTAGATAACTTATCTGAATTGTTTAAATGTGTAGAGTCCACATAAGCTTGTTTTTCATCAACCGGTCAACATTTACAGCAGGGCATGCAAATGCGGTCCGTTTTTGGCCAGACAGAAACAGCACACAGGCTGAATGTAAATATAAGTCTCTGTAAATCCACTCGCTGACAGCAGGTGGCGCTGATGGAAAAGCTGTTTGCCGTAAACTCTGTGAACAAAGCAGCACTGCGATTAAAAACAGTACTTTATTAGGTATTACATTAATTCATTTGTATAATTCCCTTAGCACTCTTTTAAAACCTCCCAGCTTTTCCGCCCTGTTTTCACTCAAAACGAAACTACTCTGCTGCTGTGCGCACGTGAGACTGTTACTTAAAACTGCTTTATGCTGGACAGTATTTCTTTATCGTGAGTTGTTCAAATCGCGGTAATCTAATGCGGTTTTAATGATAATTAAAATATGAAACGGTAATACTAACCGTCACGAATTTTATCATGATTTATCGTCAAACCGGTAATCGTTGCATCCCTAATTTTATAAAGGTGTTTCTTCAACTTGGAATCAATTAATTAAAGCTACCAGATTTCATTTTTTCCGTTTACGCTAAGATCAATTTAAAGCTTAGCTTTTAAACATTTTACTATGCATTCGTCATTTATTTTTGCTACTTGGACTTATTTCTTTTATTGTAGCGGAACCAGACTTTATTATTAACATATTATTATTACATATGCATGCACATACAGAGAGGCAATTTAAGTGTTTTTTATTTTGTATGAATGACTGTCCCTTGTTCTATCAGTCATTTCCATCACAACCATTTATTTTGTCCTAATAAAGTTTTTGTCAAAAGTTAAAGTATTTATTTACCAAAGAGAGCATGCTTGAGATGAAATATGAGATCAAAGTAAATATTAACTGTGAACAGAATATTATATCATTTTATGCTTTTAATTCCAATCGAACTGTAAAAATATGCAAAAAGTGTTAAAAAAGTGGTCAGTTGAACCTCTTAACTAACGTATTTACTTAAATATATGCACTTTTCGTTCCTGTTTTCGTTAAATTGTTTGGGAAACCTTAATGTATTGTTTATATCAATATGGTACAAGAATATTTAAATTAATGTGATAAATTAGTTAGGTCAAGTGTAATATAAAAGTAATCAAAAATTAGTCTGATTAGATTATCTAATTTATTTTTAGTTCGAATTTCTCATTTCTCCTTTTCATTTAGTTTAATTTGATGTGCTGAAATACCTAAAACTGAAGTCAAATTAAAATGTAAATGCTAGATATAAAAATTAAAACCAACAACATATAATACATTAAAAAAATATATATATTAAAACTAAAATAGTATCATAATGATACTGGTATACACTGTTGGAGATTGTTAATGGTCAAATTTAACTAGCAAAAGTATGTTAGTCGAATAGGCTATAGCTGAATAAACATCTGTGATCGTGTCAACATGTTAGCTGTTCCTGCAGGGATGGGTTCGATCCGTCAGGCCACAGAAAGACAACCTCTTCTTGCATGTGAATGATGGAAGTTCATTGCAATCTCTACAGGTTGTTGCCAGCTCACACTTGAATACCAGGTGCTATTCTCTACACTGTCTTTGAGATAGAACAAATATAAAATACTATTTCAAACGTCATGCAAATCTTGATATATACACTGACTCCACTTACAGCCACACTAAAATGAATGAATGTCATTGTATTAAATAACAAACTAAGTGACATTCATTGTAATGAAATCTAGCACAAGTACTTTTCAAGCAAAACATATTGAATTCATATATATATATATA